ATTTTTTTTTTTTTTTTGAGACAGGGTCTTGCTGTCACTCAGACTGGAGCAGTGGCACAATCATGGCTCACTGCAGCCTCAAACTATCAGACTCAAGCCATCCTTTCACCTAAGCCTCCTGCGTAACTGGGACAACAGGAGTATGCCACCATGCCCTGCTAATTTTTTAATTTTTTGTAGAGATAGGGTCTTGCTATGTTGCCCAGGCTGATAAACTCCCGGCCTCAAGAGATCCTCCCACCTGCATCTTCTAAAGTGCTGGGGTTACAGGTGTGAGCTACTGTGCCCACCGCACCCATTCTTTATTGTAGTTATACAGCAGGCCTCTGAAGTGGGCAGCCTGGGTAACAAACTCCTATTTTACAGGTCAAAAAATCAAAGCTTGAAGAGGCAAGGAGACTAACTCAAGGGCACTCAGCTCCTAAGAGGCAGAGGTAGGTCTCGAACTCACACCCCCTGATTCTCAAGCCAGATGAATTCTCAGTCTCAACTGCTTCCATTCACTGCACTACAAATAGGGTTCACACCCCGAATTCAGCACATGTCCATAGCTTCTCCCATGTGCCCCTCACGTTACCCTGATAAGTGGATACTATTATTACTCCATTTTACAGCTGGGGAAACTGTGGCTCCACCCCATTGCTTTGAACACCAGAGCCTCACCATCTTCTCTCTACTACTAACTCTTAATGAGGGTTAAGGCCAGATAACAATTGTCTATGTCCAGGGGACCTTCTCCCTAAATATGTCCTTGTTTGAGGTTCCCATTGGGAGAGAGAAATGATTCTCTGCAGGTTCAAGCTTCTGGCCTTGGAAAGGGGCAGGGAGGCTGGGGTGCCCAGATTCCAGGCAGGAGTGGCAGCATGTGCAGGAGACACCAGACAGCCCAGTGGTAGCACCTTGGGGGCTGACAGGGGCTGAGAGGAGTCGTGTCTTGCACCTCAGGGTCTCCGAGGGCCCCCAGCCCTGACCTGGCACCTACAGTGTGTGAATCACTTCCTTCATACACGTGATATGAGATCTTCTCAACAGCCCTGCTTTAAGTCTGTAAGACTGAAGTTTAGAGAGGAGGAGCCATTTGCTCCATGGCCATATGACTGGGAGAGGCATCACCAGGACTTGAACTTAAGGCCTGGTGAGTCCCGTTGGAGCATGGATCCCAGCTGCCTGCTGAGAAGACAGCCTTATTTTGAGTTTGCAGGTTCACCAGTCCTTAGGAGGGCCTGATTTAGCTGTGCAGAGTGAAGCCGGGGCTAGGGGTTGGTAGGGGACTGGTGGGCAGAGGACGTGAGTTTCAGTCTCACTCAGTCACCCACTAGCCTGGAGACCCCAGTTTCCCCAGATGTGACAGGCATAGGGGGAACAGCATGGTATCCAGGTCACCCCCAGCTCTGAGAGCCTATGTGCTCCACCAAGCCCACTGGAAACTCAGGGGTACCTGTGGAAACCCAGACCCTGGGACCTCCTGATTCATCAAGGTGGGGCCCAGGAATCTGCCACCATCAGGTGACCTTTAGGTTAATTAATGCATTAATGGGCTTCCTGACCCATACCTGTGGCTGGGCAGGGGAAAGGCAGAGGAGGGCAGTGGGACAGCATGGGAACGGCCGGTGTTTCAGGCTCTGCACATAGCAGAAGCCACAGGAGCTTTTCTGACCTCCAGTATGCAAGCTAGAGATTTCTTTCCTTTTTTCCCTTTCTGATCTTAGAGTTTATCAATTGCAGCAGCAAGGGGCTCACCGGCTCTGGCTCCTTGTCCTGATGCCAATTCACACCTTTGTGCATAGCCCTCTACAGTGTACAGGGCTCTCAGGCAGCTGTGGGCTAACACAGGGCAGAGATAGGCCTGCCAGGCCACAGATGAGAAGATTGAGGGCAGAGAGATAAAGTGACTTGGCCAAGGTCACACAGCTGGTCAGAAGTGGGGCTGGGCCCAGGACTCTCATCCTTTTGACCTAGAGTCAAACACCTGGGGAAAACCAAGGGTCCACAGAGGCCCCTGCTGCTTCTTGCCTGGAGCCTGAGAGCACTTGCAAGAAGCCCAGCTCTCCAGAGAATACAGTATGACCTTGGACAAGTCCCTGCACCTGGCTGGGCCTCAGTTTCCTTTTTATAAACGGACCCAGCTAGGGACCTCAGAAGGCATATGTCTGCTTTGGCTTTCTTGGCATCACCAATTCCATAGGGTGTTGGAGGATGGAGTTGGATGGCAAGTGGTCCATAGGATGGCAGAGTGGTCTGGTCCGGCTGCCTAGGGCAAGGCCATGCCTGCCTGGGGAAGGCTCCTCTGCCTTCATCCATAGGAGATCCTCTTCACACTTTCTCTGTGTCTTGCTAAAAAATTTTAAGTTTTTGAGCTGTAGGTTCCTGAAATTTCGGTATCCCAATTGGAACTGGCCTCGTGCCAAAGGGTCAAAGAGGGTAGGCGGGCACCTGGTGGCCTGCCTTCTGCCTCCCTCTGCCACATTCCAGCTGTGTGACCTTGGGTGAGTGACTTTACCTCTCTAGGTGCAGCATCCTCATCTGGGATAATAGGGACGTGGACGTTCTCCCTGAGGTGATACGTGCAAAGCAGTTAGCTGCGTGAATGCTAGCTGGGTTACTATTATTTACCCAGGTCCCCTGACCCATACCTGCGGCTGAGCTGGGGGAAGGCAGAGGACGGCAGTGGGACAGCAGAGGAGGGCACCAGCATTTCAGGCTCTGCATACAACGTAAGCCACGGCAGCTTCTCTGACCTTCAGTCTGGAGTGGACTTCGGAGTCTGCTGAAGGTGTCCCAGGCCCCAGCTCTCAGAGACTCCACAGCAGTGGGTCAGTTTCCCAGTGCTAGGGAGAGGGCTGGTGGGGCCGGTCTGGGCTCCTGGCGGTCTGGACCACGGGCAGCAGCTGCACCCCTGGCCGCCTCTGTCTCCTTTCCAACTTTGGGCGGCCTTCTCTGAAGAACATCAATAACCCAAGATGGCCTTGCTAAGTCTAATCACAGCACTCTGGGAATATGGGCTGGCCCTCCCCCTATGCCTGTGAGAGGCTGTGGCTGCCACTTGGGATCCAGTATCCCTCTGTCCTCATTGGAAGTCCCTTAAGGGGCAAGTTTTCCCTAGCACCCACAGGGCCACCTTGGCTCCTGGAAGCTGAGGGGGCAGGTGTGTGTAAACAGCGTCCGCAGAGGTGCTGCATCTGTGTGACCATGGCCGTATGCTTACGTGTGCAACTGACATTTCACCTGTGGGCACATTCCAGCATGCTGTGTGCCTGCCAATGCATGGGCAGGCACACAGCTGGCATTCAGATCCCCACATGTGTGTGTCTGTTGTTTTCACACCTGAGCCAGCTCTCACGTGGGCACACGTATTTGTGGCTGCTGCAGGCACGGTGTGCAGCCTACTGTACTCCTGTGTTAGTGGTACATGCATGTGTTGGCACGCTACATGCACAGGTGTGTGTGTGTGTGCACTGCATTAGTGTATGTGCTGTGTTTTGCACATGAGCATGTGGTGGTCAGGAATGTGGGTTGTCTTTACAGGTGCCAGGGTGTGGGCATGGCCATTCCATATGTGTATATGATCTGGACATACATGACACACTACTATGAGTGCTATATTTGTATCTGTGAATATGTGGGAATCTGTGGGCATGAATATGCCCTGATGCAAATGGGACTAAGGTGTGAAGGTGACTAAATAATGGTGGCCATCAGCACCTTTCCTGGACCCCCAAGCCCCCACAGGACTCCCCCAGAGTCACAGCCCCTTCTTTGCCACTGCTCCTTCAACGAAGTTAACAGGCGGAGGCCCCCGAGGCCTGCGCTCCAAGCCCCCTCCTACTGCACACGTCAAAGGAGAATTTCTCCGGATGGCGCCTGCTGCTCCTGGAAATACCCCAAACGTCAGCTCTGCCTCCTCCCAGCGATTCAGAGAGCAATGCAGAAGAGGAGGGAGCCCCTTCCGCACTGGGCTCAGGACATGCAGTGTCGCACCAAGACCCTCTGCCGGCCGGTGGGGCTTGCCTGCTCACTTACCCTTCTGAAGGTCGAGCCAGGCTGGGCCTCTGCATGGGGGCCCCAAGACCCCCAGGGCCCTTGCCTGATTGGGGCAGGCCAGTCCAGAGGCCTCCCCCCGCCAACCTGGGTGAGCAGAGGACAGCTGTGGTGAGGAATGGTTACTTGGCTAGAAAGGGGTGGCTGCCGGCAGCAACCCACCCTCAGGGAGTCCTGAGGCCCCCTGCTGCATTTTCCAATCCTGACCCTGCAGGGGGCAGGGAGGAGCCCCAGGTGCCCTAGCCCTCAGCTAGAGACCACTGAGGCTGGCCTAGGAAGTGGGCTTCTGGGCAGAGAGTGTGGACTCCACCACCCAGCATGACTGCTGCAAAATGGCCTGGCCACCCGTTCCTGCCACCCTCCTGGCCACGGAGGGGACCCAGGGACACGTCCCTGCCACCACATGACCCGGCTGGCCTGACCCAATGGGTACCGGCACACAGCTGCCCACCCCACCAAAGGGACCCTTCACAGGGGCCTCCCCTGCCTCTTGCCTGGGACTCTGACCAGGGTGGGCAGGGGGCACTCTCCAGTCCTCTTGGTCTCCCTGGGACCGGCTCAGAGAGAAGAGAACCTTGTCCCTCGCCACCAGCTTGCTGGCCCTTGCATAACATCCTTAGGGGGCATTTGCAGTCCAGAGGCTGCCGGAGTCTACCTGAGACCCCGGGCATCCGCTTGCCCGAGGCCCCCGTCCTAGTCCCCAGCATCCAGCCGTCACCCCCAACACGCGGACCCTCACACTAGTGTCTCCCTCAGCGGCGGCTCCCAATGCAGCCTCGGCTGCTACCAGATAAACAAGCCCTGCTCCCACCCCCCCTCCACGCTGCCACCGCCACCACCATCAGCACTGAGAAAAATCAAATGAAATGAAACAAAATAAAATGGGTGAGGGAGGAAGGGGAGAGTGGAGTGGGGCGCTTTTTATTTTTTATTTTCTCATGCTGGGGGATGCCGGTACTTACTTGGTTATGAAAATCACCACCAATCCTGCACGGTTTCCCGGCGGGCAGCCCCGTAATCGCGGTGCGGCAGCTGGTGCCGCGGCTGAGCCCAGCCAGCGTGCCCGGGCCCCTCTGCAGACTGTACCATCCTGCCCGAGCGGGTGGGGGGCGGGGGGCGGAGGCGCCGGCGCCGGTTCTAGGAGAGCATCTCCATCTCGCCGGCAAAATGCAATCTCGGGGGAGGCAGAGGCCGCCCCTGCCGCTGCCGGAGGCTGGGGGAGGGGGGCGGGAGGACAAGGGAGGGAGGGACGCAGGGAGGGCCGGTTCTGGAGGGGGGTCGGGGGAGGAGAGTGGGGGGCGGGGGGTGTGTGGACCGAACCACCACGGTGTTGTTTGCGGTTTTAATTCCTCCCGTGGGATCATGAGGAACCGAAGCTGGCAGAGTCCCAGGAATATGCCCGCTCCCCAGAAGCAGGAGGGGAATGTCAAGGGCACAGAGAGGATAGGGCTGGGCTGAGCCGGAGGGAAGGGGTCCTGAGAGTGGTGGTGGGGGGAACCGGAGAGGAGCCGGAAGGACTTTTGCTCCAATGGCCCCAAGCCATCCCTTGCTCTCTGGGGGACTTATTTGGTTAGTCAGGGGCTCTGGCCCCCCTCTTTGTAGCCAGGACACCCCCAGACCTGGGGGGACAAAGGGGCAAAGGTCGCAACGGGGTAGAAGTGGACTCAACACAGTCTAAACACATCTGTGGTTGCAGGGCCAGTGGAGCAGAGCTCGCAGCAGCTCTCTGCTGCCCTGAAGCGCTGCCCCTGTGACCTGCCCTGCCTGTGTGCGACCCCACCTGCCCGGGTGTGTGTGGGGGGGTGGGGGCTGGCCTGGAAGAATGGCCTGCCTCAAGGGGTCATTTCTCTGCCAGGTGCCCACCAGCAGGGGTGTCTGCCTCTCTGTACACCCACCTAATCTTCAGGACATCTATGATGAGTTGCAGGCTGACTGTATTGGAGGGCAGAACATTTCCAGGGGAACCCAGGGACCTCTGGTGAGGTGTCTGTAGGGTTAGAAGCCCCCAGCCAGCCGCTCACCTCTTCCTGCCTCATCTCGGGCAGACCTGCTGCTCCTTTAACTCCAGATGGGTGGGGGGTGAGCCCTAAGAGCAAGGTTAGGAGGTCACAGGGGGCAAGGGGCTTCCTAGAATTCTGAAGCCTCTGCCTTCACTGCCCTGCCCCCTCTAGGAGGGGTGGCCTGCGTGGAGGGAGGTCACTGAAGGTGGAAGGACCTTCAGGACCAGTGTCTCAGGGAACCTGTCAGGGTGGAGGGGCACATGGGGGCAGGGGCAGGGCTGGAGGTGGCCCTGGGAGGCAGTTCCAGGCAGAAGGTGCCTCCTTCCCCTGCCCCCACCTCCTGCCCACCTCTGAGCTGCCCGCCCGAGCGTCCTGAGCTGCCGCTCCATCCCTGGGCTGGCACAGAATATCAATTTGTCTCGTTAAGCTGAAAGTCTGCACTGCACCAAAATCAGAACCCGGCCGTGCGGAGGGGCCGAAGGAGGGAGAGAGCTGGGAGCACCTGTGGTGGGACTCCCACCAGTAGGCCATGCTGAGACCTCCTTGCTCCTCACCCCCCAGCCCCATCAAAGGGTATCCGCCTGCCCCTTGGCCCACAGGATGGCCTCAATGCAGGGAGGATGCTGAGAAGCTACAGATGCCAAGAGCTGGGTGGTCATTCAAGGCCCTGGCCTCCACTGGGGCAGGGGGTGTAACTCAGATGCCAGGCATGGCTCCCTGCTGGGGCTCCTGCAGAGCAGCCCAAGACACCCCTCAGGGAGGCTCTTGCCCCCACACCAACAGCCCAAGATTGGGAGTTTCCAAAGCAGCTTCATCTCTGTTCCATCTTGGGGGTGCAGATAGGGAACTCTACCCCTCTTATGGGTATAGTTGGGGGGATTCCACTGGCCACCCCTCTGGGTGGGCTTCTACATCAGCAGTCCCTAATCAGCTCCACCCCAGGGACCAGGGCAAAGATGGGCAGAGGGGGAAAGGCCCACTGCACCTCCCATCTGTCACCAGCCAACATGCCTGTGCCAGGAATCCCGCCATTATTACTTCAACATCTTTGGCGGTAAACCACTTTCCCTGGTTACAAAACAGCCCTGGGAGCAGCCTGTTATGAGCCACACATGTCAACAATCACACTGCCTTCTGCGTCCAGCACACTTTACAGTTTGTAAAGGCCACCTGCAAAACGGTAAATCATCTGAGCCTCCCAACTACCTCTGGGGTGGCTGCTGTGAGCACCCAAGGTACAGCTGGGGAAGCTCTGTGTAGTTCAGAGGGATGTCGGGTCCAGGGCAAGGTGGCACTCCCAGTAAGGGATTGACCAAACTTGTGACAGAGGCCTGTGGATTCCAAGTCCAAGGCTCCCTGCATGCAAAGGCCATCGTGAGTGTGGGCTCACTGAGAGGCCTGACGCTCACCTGCTCCCAAGTCCTGAGTCTTGCCTGCCCACTGGTGCCTGTCTGGGGTGGGCTGGGCCCTCACCAATGTACGCCAGCAGCCAAACTCTCAGACAGTTGTGGATTTTGGCCAAGTTCCTACCTCCTTGGCATTCCGGGTCGTGTGTCCCTCAGTGCCTGCACCTGCCCCCCGTGACTGGATGCCGTCTCCTGAGCCAGCGCAAATACTCAACAGCATCGTTTGAAGGTTTTTCCTCGTGGGTATACCCCACTTCTAGGCCCGCAAACTCCTACTCATCCTTCAAAGTCCAATTCAAATTCTGCCTCCCAGACAGTCCTTCTTGATTCTACCAACTGAATTGATTCACGCCTCTGTTCTAGCTCTACCACACTGTATTGTGATAACCTTCATGTCTGTCTCCCTCATTGGCTGTGACCACATCAGACATGTCTCCAGAATCCCAGGTCTCAGGTCCCAACACGTGGTAGATGGTGCAATAGAAGCTGGAACAAGTCTGCTTGCTGGACCCTCGAGAACGCCTATCTAATTCTCCCATTTTATAGCGCAGCAAACTGAAGCCTCAAGAGAAAGATTAGGCCTGCCTAAGGTCATTCTTGAGGGTGGAATCTGGCTACAGACATCTGTCCCCTGCCCTGCCCCATCCCCTGTGCCTTCCCTTCCTGCAGTAGACACACCTGGGTCATCTGGCGTGTCCTTCCAGGATGTGTTGGGGGGCAGGGGGTATTGGACAAGCAGAGGTGTTGTGAAATTAGGCAAACAATGGCACTAGTGTTGCAACTCCAGGAAGAGTGGAAACGACAGGTCAGGGTCAGCCACAGGGAAGAGGGGGAAAGAGGCAGGACGCCAGCTGGGAGGATTACTGATAGCTTCTGCCTCCAGCACGATTTGGCTTATGGTGGACACCGATTGGGGGTCAGGGTCAGGGAAAGGTAGAGAAATAGGGGAGCGGGAGGGAGGGGAGAGCCAGCCGATCTGAGTTTTATGTCATGTTGAGTTGGCCAGACTATGTTTTTCTGCCTTGGGGAGAGTTCCTGGGGCCGGGACACAGGGTGAGTGAAGAGGGTCAGTCTGTCTAGGAATGTGGGTATGGAGCTTGGTTCAGCCTGCTGGAGGCTTTCTGCACAACGGCAATAGAGGAGGTAAGTCCAGGCAAGTCTAAGTGGGGAGGACTGAATGTCATTAGAGGTCAGCTGTGTCCTCGCCACGAGATGTGAGCTCTCTGTTGTCGCACCTCTTTCTGGGAAGCATGGATGAGGACCACCCCTGCCCTTGCCTTGTCTGGCTTGGGGTCTGCAGACATCTGGGTAGGGGTCCTGGGGCCAGCTCTCGGGTTGCTGGTGTCACAAAGAGCTGTCGGTTGGGTTCCTCGGGGGATGAAAAGGTATTTCCAAAGGTTCTCACATTCCTGTCTCCTCTGACCCCCACAGGTCACCCTCAAAGAGTCTGGGCTTCTTTCCATTTTACAGTAAAGAAATGTGAGACCTAGAGACCACAGGGGCTTACTTACAAGTTACAGAGCCAGTGAGGACCAAAGCAAGATTGAGGGTCCCACTCAAACCCTAGGCCCTTCTCTCTGTGCCTGCCTAAGGTTACCGAAATTTGAAGCACACAACTCAGGATCTCTAGCCCCAGACCTTGAGGGGCCACGGACTGTGGATCCAGGGGACCACATGGCCTGGCTTGCCCCAAATCTCCTCTCCAGTCACACTGAGGCTCCACACCCACTCCCCACTCCCATCAAGGTCTGAAACTCCCTCAGCCAACAAGATCTTGAGTGGAGGCTTTATGACCACACAGACCTGGGTCCAACTCCTGCTCCCTCACCCAACGGCTGTGTGACCTTGGGCAAATGACGCAACCTCTCGAGTCCCAGTTTTTTCATCTGCAAAATGGGGATGATAATACCTATTTGGTGGGGTCTCAAGTTAAAGGGGAATGGCAGCTGTTATTAGAGGGAGAAACAGAAGGTGAGATTCTCTAGCTGGCCTCAGGGAAAATGCCGGTGGAGAGCAGGTGCCTTCCAACTCCTCTGGCTCGTAGATAAGGGTTCTCAGATATCACCTGCAGGGCTGGGGCTGGGCCAGTCTCTAGTCTGCTGAGATTTGAACACAGGACCCCAATTCTCTCCTCCTCCCACTGGCCTTTGCTCCCTCAGGGAGGAGGTTGGAGGCCTGGCTTCTGGTGAATTCTGCACAGCCACCATTCACACTGACATCCTACTATGTGCCAGGCATTCTGTGCACACACCTTATTGTGTGTTCCTCGCAAAACCCTGGGAAGTGGATCCTATTTTTATTCCCATTTTACAGATGAAGAAACTGAGGTACAGGTAAAACACTGTAGCCCGAGGTCACAGAGTGAGTAGGGGAATTGGAACTTGAAAGAGGAACTGCAGGAGGCCCTGGGGCAAGCCCAGGAACCCTGTGGGAGGTGGGCTGAACCTGGGTCCAGGACCCACTCAGGACGTAGGTTTCCCAAAGCGGTTGGTATATCTTCCTGGCCACACAGCTCAGAAAACCTGCACCCCAAGAGGGCCCACCCCAGGCTCCCACGTGTGTGGGGCAGGTGAGGGGTGATGGGTGACCCTGCCTCCCCTCTGCAAGGCCAGAGGCCAAGGTCAGGGGCATAAGCTCACAGAGTAACTGCAGAAGGAGCCTGTGGAAACTGAGGGATCAGGTGCCTTTCCTCCTGGGAGAACACAGAGCTTGGGGAAGCAGGAGCTACT